TACTATTGTATATTAATTTATATTACAATTTTAACATATTAACAATAAAAGTTAAGTACTTGTGTCTCACATATAATATTGTAGTGATACTAGTAGTAACATTACTTGCTTCAAAAAACAATTGTAGCATAATACAATTCTTGTATAAGTATTACATTTATATACAGTTGTTACATTTCAATTACAAGCAAAGTATAATTATAATTTCGAATTGTAATTGATATATAAGTACATTATTACATTACATTTGCTATTATTAATTACATTTGTTGCGACTTTTTCGTGATGTCTGTGGCATTTCTCTGGGTCTCAAAAGTTATTGTATATAGCATGTACACATAAATATCTTATACCTTGTATCACTCTGGATTACTTATTTGAGGTCTATGCCTGATAACCTGCATGACTGTAAGTACTTTAGTCCAAACGTTAGTATGTTAAGTTTAATGGTGCATTTCAGCACGTCCAAGCCTGAAGTAGTGTTTAGGCTTGCACTACACATTGTATTATGTCACTATCTGAACAGGCAAATTTACAGAAAAGACGGCCAGCTTGTGCATAATGGCCTCCACAAGAAATCATTTTTTTCCGTTGAAATGTTCTTGAATTCAAATATAAAAAAGGATACAGATGCTAAAGCGCATAACGGAAGTCCCTGTTCTGACGATCGGTAAGGTCGAGAAATGCTCTATCAACCCTTTTCTCGACAACTTCTCCATTCTCGTCTGTGACCTTGACCCAAACATCATCATACGTGGTATCTGGTGGTTCGCGATCACGCTTCTTGTTTTCCTTCTTAAGCATATAGCGCTGAACTAGAAGAAGCACTGCAGCAACGGTATAGCAGATCGCGATAACAGTCCATGGAACATGAAAACTTATAGTTCACGGAGTGATTATTAGGTTCAGACTTGTTTGCATTAAATGCGAAACGTACCGAGGGGCATATTTCGCTAGCCACATCTGAGGACCGACGGCATTTCCTACGCAGTTTGCAATGAGCATGATCGCGTTCATTGTAATACGTTTCGTGTGACCAGCTGTTGTCTGCGTTACCCACGCAAGTGAGAGCGCAAAAGGAGTAGTGCTGATTTGGGTAAGATATATGCTTGTGAGTAGTCCACCTTTGTCTGATAAGGGCAAGACGTTGACAAGGATAGAGCATATTACGACTGGTACATAATACGCCGCCCCGACGTAGGCAATGCTATCCTTGAAGTATGCCGCCATATGTGTACCTGTTAATATGCCGACTATTTTCACAATCCTGACGGAAAGAGGGTTACGGTGCGAGTACATAATGTAACATGATAACTTACCCACTGGCGCTGCTGAGCAGAGTAGTTTGAAACGTAGTGAAACCGTAAGAATTAATGAGGATACTATTTTGATTGATGAGAGAATTCGGGACATCGTGGATGGCGCAATACAAAAAGAAAATCCAAGTCTTCATTTCCATAAGGCATTCTATCACTCTAAGCACGATTAAGCATATGCGGTATTGGATGACTCAGCGACTACATACTGTTCTTTCTTGAAATGCTTGTTTTCGACGCCGGCTTGGTTCTCTTTAATGCGATTCACAGCTATAACACGTTCCTCGCGGGTAAGGAACCACGCGTTCGTCGGGGAATCCGGGTAGAAGAACCTTTGTAGGGGACGGCGTTATACTTGTGTATTAATGGGAGACATTATTGAGAACACACCAGTAGCAGATGCCAGTTATGAGTGTAATTATCCCGCAAATGATCATTAGCCACCTCCAGGGCTCAAAACTTGGCGTATGTATATGCAGAGATCCAAAAGCAAGAAAACCCGTGATAACTTCAGCCGTGCCATTCATCAAAACTGAAACCTCCCTTAGTGGTGACCGCTTCAAATGCATGAGAGATGCTTACACCAGTATCCGAATCGGGTAATCTGCTCTTTGCGTGTGTAGAACATTGAGCTAGTAATCATGAATCCCGCAGTGATGCTCCCTTCGCACATTCCGAGCTGTGCTTCTGTCAGGCACGCAAGAGCCTGTTGAAGGCTAAACCATACTTACGATGAAACGTACGATAAAAAGCCCGGCAAAGTTCTTACATGCGGCGTGGAAGCACATAGCGATCGCCCAAACAAGGACATTGATACTGTGGTTTGACAGCCTAGGTTAGATAATTCGAAAGGGAATGGTCGCGTCTGATACTGACCTCATCCACTTTCCGACAGGAAACCGTTGGAAAGCCAGATTTTGGGGATACTCGAAAATCAGGTAGCTGATGTAGAAGATGGTTCCTAGCCAATTATACTCGGTTGCGTTCAAGTGCGTGTCTGTCTTGAGACCAAGTATAGCAGAGCTCCCGAGCGTGGTTTTGTCCATGAACTGGATCAAATAGAGGACTAGAATATAATTCATAAGGCGGTATCGGAAGCAAAGATAATCTCAAGAAATACGTACTACACATCAGGGGAAGAATGTGCCAGTCAATTTTGCGTCTGTAATTGACTAAGTCCTTTCTTACTCAATAAATGACAGGGTATGCCGTACCGAATCCTGACCGACTCTACAGGGCCAACAACAGTCTGATCAGAAAGCTGGGCAGCTTCATCAACCTCCCTGTACTCCGCAGTCGCGTGGAAGCGATTCTCGTCGTCGACGGCATCCTTTTCCTCGAGAGATGAAGACTTCAATGATGAGGAACTCATGGTAAAACGGACAGTCGTACTACGGGAGGGGAGCATATGGGAGACAGAGACCTTAAGTATTGGGATACTTCGGAACGGGAATTATTATTCGTGAGCAGGAAAGTGCATATTCGTGTTCGGCAAGAAGGAAGATGCTGCTGGGATGGGAATGAACCTGTACAGGTATGCGTTCGAAGTTAGCCTGGAGGCCGCAGAAGTTGGATGCAGAAGTGTGGTACAAAGATGGCGGGACAGTTTTAGCGTTGCCCTTGTTCAGATGCTGCGTCCCTTTTGAGGTACAATACGGGTCCCCACCCACGGTAGCAAGTACCCACAGGAGTGGCCTTCTGTCGACTCAAAGGCGGAGTCTTCATTCTCTTCCTGCCAGTGTCATTTAGTAAATAGGAAAGTAAATGGAGCCAGCATTCGGAAGTCCGGTTCGATCACTTGCCATTGAAGCATGTCACGTCGCGCAAACACCATCCTACGCTGATCCGTTCGTTTTAGTAGTATTTCTGCCTGTGCCGAGGTATCGGAACCTGCACATGATCGCTGCGATTTTTCCGAGAATGGAAGGACTTTAGCACATTGCCAAAAATAATCTGCGGAAAGTAGAATTACTTCTGCTATATAAAGCTCCATTGGATATTTACGATACGTAATAAAGTATCTTGAGCATGCTTCGACGAACCGCACGGGTGGAGGCACGAACTGTTGAGGTGATACGAAACCCCACATGTGATAAGAACATCGGATCAACGTATCTGATACCAACATGGCTCGAGAAAACACCGATTTACGCGTTAGACGGACAACGGGGAGATGAAAACATAAATAGAACCCTTGCGGACAATCGTTGTATCTTTGCGTAACAACAAAATTAACCAACCAGTTAAAACCGAGAATGAAATGGAAAACAGGTAGCTACCTTAGGAACACAGCAGAATGCATGATTCCAGCGGCCCGCAAGTCCAAAAATACCTCGTCATGTTCCTTAATTCGTCTGGCAGGTACAGAATCGCGGTCGTGGTCCTCTTGGCTAGTATAAGTTACCACAGAGGAAGGATTGATGAATATGATTGCATTTGTAGTAATATGCGTTGTATACTGTGCAGTCGTTTGATGCAGCCACATAAGAGCAAGTACAATATTGTGCAATTCGAACATCTTGACGTGCATGCTGACGAGAAATCGTACTTGGTGTACAGTAGGTCACTTCCCCACAGACAATTCTAATCAAGGATCAAGGATAGATTTATGACGATAAAAATAGTGATAATCTTTTGACAGAGACCTTTTTATCCCAAGAAACATGAGGACTGTAACAAGATACAGCTTACTACCATACTCTGCCAAAAGAAATGTCTCGAACGATGCGACGTCGAAAGCAGTATTGATTGGACTCTGTTGGTCCCTAAGAGAGATTGTGACGTTGGCGGGACCACGGAATAGAGAGCAAGGAAAAAATCCCGGGACTTCAGGTATACTATTACTAGCATTTCTAAAGAATGAGAAAGGTCAAGGACTGTTAAAATAGTGGTAACTTCCATGTACTACTCCCCTTTTTGGCAGTTATTCTCAACACTTGCCGGGTTTCCTTTGATTCGGTTCACTGTAATCACACGATCCTTTAATTTAGCGATCATCATTTGTCAGTAAGCTGGGTTAAAGGCACTTTAGTCGGGATATTAGCTGAGCCATGTCACTTGATACTTCAGAGGTCCAAAGTTACCAAATAGAACATAGCCGTCATCAGACTTCTCTATGGTTTTAAACACTACCGCCTCCAAATACAAGTCGACTAAGTGCCGTGAAGCCAGTGTCAATTGGAGCACTCGTTTACTTGAACGTGGATTCAAGGCAAATTAGCCGATACCGCGGGTTGGTAACACCTCGTAAGTTTACAGTGCGATTCGGTCATATGACGGTCAAGGGGGTCAAGGGAATTTGTTGACTACTTAGTGAATCGTGTCAGGAAGGGGATTAGGTCACCTGACCTCGCGTGACCCTAAGACAAACTAGTCATTGTCGAAACTGTTGTCCTCTCTCGCACCCACATCTACCAATCACCTCAACAGTTTTTGTTCCATAAGTAAAGAAAATTGATATACTGTAGTATGTCAGTTGATTGACAATATCTGAAATAGAATATTTGTACTTGTTGTCAATGTCGGACTGAAGCTGCCGTTTTGCCATTGCCATTCAGCACGAGGAAACTAGCTTGTAGACATTCTTTTACCCTATGAACGTTGATTCTCTCCCTTGTGAGACGCTTTGCGACATCTTTCATGAATGTGTGCGCAACGAGCATTGCAGGGAAGAAAACGTTGGGATACCGATAAGGATTTCGAGCGTTTGTCGGCGATGGCGCAACGTAACCCTCTCACTTGATGTATTCTGGACCTACTTGTGTTGTTACTATGACGGAAGACACGGGAAACGAGTCATTGAGATATTCGATACATGGCTCCGCAGGTCGAACAGGGCACCATTCAACTTCGAATTCAAATGCATTCTCGAGGGTGACGCATCTCCAGAGCAAATCGACGCAGCTGAATACGTCATTTTAGCGTTGATCTCTCATCAGTGGCATTGGGGGAAAGTCGACTTTTTCTGGAACTTCAGAAAATCATCCAGCTTTCCGGGTATAAAGCTCAACAATATGCCGAAATTAACCTCACTTCGCTTATCCTCTGAGCTCACAAATAGTGATGGATTCGACGAGGATGGAAGTGTCGATCTTTCTCAGTCTTCGAAACTTGATTATCTACATCTAGATGGTCCGTTTCGTCTCAAAATTGGAGAAAACCCCATGCACTTGGCACGTTCGTTTTTTCTCAATCTATATGGACTTTTCACGGTTCGACAGTGTGTAGAATTTCTCAAGGCGGCTCCGAATTTGAAGAGGTTTACGGTTGCCTTTAACGACACGCCCGAACCATCTTTTGACGAGAATCGTTCTGTCATCCTGCGCAGCCTTCAATTCCTTTCATTGCAGGATATTTCTTCAGTCCTAGTGATCGATAAACTAGTCCTCCCCGCTTTGGAAGAACTTCATTACTTTGGGGATGAAGGCGGAAGTCTCTTGGCCTTTGTCGAGCATTCCTTACCGCCATTAACCCGGTTGGACATTAGTGGCGCCTGTGCGGGCGAAGGAACGATCGTGCACCTTCTACCTCTTCTCCCCCTACTTCAGGTGCTCAACTTGGCTCACGGTACCATTTCAACACGGCTCTTTGAGACTCTTTCGGCGCCAATCGGTGCAGGCACAGATTCTCGGACTCGCGACAAACATGACTACATCTTATGCCCCAATCTTAGGTGGTTTTACTTCTGCGGATATTCAGTCGTGGGGGATTTGCGTGAATGTGCTGACGCATTATGCACCATGCTGGAGTCACGTTGGAACGTTTTGAAGATATGGGACGAATTAGTCGGCTGTGATTGGCTTCTATACCCGTTTTCTACAGCTGATTGCGAAAGAGTGCAGCATCACATCCAAGACAGACATTATTTTCTTGCTAAATGCGTTGGCGATCGCGACCAATACCTATTCCAATATCGAGATTGACTTTATAGTACATTCGCCTTGTTTCTTCACCTCACTACCTCTGATCTAGCATTTGTTAACTTAAAATGTTCAAGTAATCGCCTACTACCAAGTCTATGGTACTCTAGGAGTAGATGACTGCGTTCTTGAGCTATTTTAAATTATGTGAGCTTCAGAATTTTTTTTTCTGGTTGGACACATTGGACCATCCTCAGTTGAACGTACGAGGGTGCTTTAGTCAAGCAGTACATTGGAGAATGCTGAGGATCATGTGATGGCGGACACAGCTGAGTGGAACACTTGATCTTTGACTAGCTGCCGTCTTTCAAGACACAAAATAGCCCTTACAAACTCTCAATTGGGGTAATTTGCTATACCACATGCCCTTCTCTTTAAATATGAACTTTTGCCGTGCCCATCCACTAGTCATGAATTTCAGCGGATATGCTAGCATGGGATACATGAAAGTCGATTCGGCCACTGGCTGAGCTATTCATCGTGACCTTTCACGCCAGAGGTAGACTCGAGGGTAACCTTGTAAGCTGTACATTCTGAGGTCACTGCCTGCTTTGTATCCATCATCCCTTTCCAGATGCCAGTTAAGCACAAATCAACACTTGCGGGAAGGCAATCATAGGTGAGGCAACGACTTGATTATAGTTCAGGTCATTCAAGAACGCATTGCTTCGTAATCGAAGTCATACTAAAGGACATAGCGGAAATCACGGTTCTGACGATCAGTCAGGTCAAGGAAGGCTTTGTCGACCTTCTTCTCGACTATATCCCCATTCTCATCCGTAACCTTCACCCAGACATCGTCGTACGTATCATCGGGTAGTTCTTGATCACGCTTCTTATTCTCCTTGTCGAGGATGTGTCGCTGAAGGAGCATCAATAGTGGGCAAATGATGTAACAAGCTGCAATCACGCCCCAGGGTACATGGTAGCTAAACATATATTATTACTTCGCGTTCAGGGTTAAGGTGAAATATGAGGCAATGACATACCGAGGTAGGTACTTTGCGAGCCACATCTGTGGGCCGATGGCATTCCCGATACAGTATGCGATAAGCATGACTGCATTCATCGTGACGCGTTTCGTGTGTCCTGCAGTTGTCTGGTTCACCCACGCAAGTGCAAGTACGAAACCAGTCGTTCCCACTCCAGTGATATACACACTCGCTAGAAGGCCAGCTTTATCTGACCATGGTAATACACTTACGAGGATCGCGCCCAGGATGTTTGGTATGAAATAGATTACGCTAACGTAGGCTATGCTGTTCTTGAAGTGCGCTGCGAGGTTGACTCCTGTCCAGATAGTGATGATTTCGATTAGTCTTGTTACGAGATATTTGTCAGTGAATGGTACGGAAATGTATATCAAACTTCGGCATACCCGCTGACACATCCAAGCAAAGTCGTCTGCAGGGTGGTAAAGCCGAACGAGCTGATGATTAGGCTGCTCTGGTTTGTGAGCGAGTTCGGAATATTATCAAGGCAAGAAAACAGGGCGAATATCCAGGTCTTTGGATCGGTCAAACACTCGATCATCCTAAGGCAGCGTTTAGATATCAAGTTAAGTGCATCAGCCTGAAGACCACGTACTGCTCTTTCTTGAAATGTTTGTTCTCAACACCTGCTTGGTTTTCCTTAATGCGATTGACAGCCGTCACTCGCTCCTTAGGAGTCAAGAACCATGCATTCGTCGGAGAATCCGGGAAAAAGAACCTTCGTGATTAACATGAGCACGGTTAAACAGTACATTCACTAGGGACACGAACCAGTAGCAAACCGCAATGATAAGAGTCAATGTTCCACATATGATCATTAGCCATTGCCACGGCTCAAATCCCGACGACTTGATATGTAGTGACCCAAAGGCAATAAAGCCAGACATTATCTGGGCCGTGCCATTCATCAAGACTAAATCACAAGGTTGTAAGCAGGCATGCTTTCGAAATAGGATATTTATGTCGTACACCAATATCCAACGCGAAGTGTTTGCTCCTTGCGAGTATAGAACATTGCACTAACGATCATGAAGCCAGCGGTTATGCTGCCTTCGCATATTCCGAGCTAACATATATTAAGCAATGGTAAAGGTGAAACGCGAAAATATAGCTTACAATAAAGCGCACAACAAATAGCCCAGCAAAATTCTTGCACGCGGCGTGCGAGCACAAAGCGACACCCCACGTGAAAATATTGATACTATACGCGACACTGCTCAGCCCGATACGGTTTAAAAATAGAACATTTCAGTCAACTGACCTCATCCATTTGCCAACAGGGAAGCGCTGAAGCGCGAGGTTCTGAGGGTACTCGAAGATGAGGTAGCTAATGTAGAAGATCGTGCCCAGCCAATTGTACTCCGTCGCGTCCAAATGTGTTGCTTGTCTGATCCCAAGAATTGCAGAACTCCCGAGTGTGGTCTTGTCCATATATTGAATCCAATAGAGAACTATCACTACTGTTAAAGGGCTGTTTAGTCGTTTCGATGTTAGGCAAGCACGCACTGCACATTAATGGTAGAATGTGTCTGTCAATCTTACGTCTGTGACAACAATATAGTATGGTATCATTACGTCTATTATGAGAGTTTGCAGAGTTGCGTACCGTATTCTGATAGCCTCTACCGGGTCAACGGAACCTTGAACGGATAATTGAGCAGCCTCATCAACCTCCTTGAATTCCGCAGTCGCATGATGATGCTTCTCTTCATCGAATGTACGCTTCCCGCTGACTGAGGATGTGCTCATGGTCTGAAGGGGTTGATGGCACGAAGAAGAGGAAGAACGAGAGAGGCCCTAACCTGATAGAGTGGACAGAAAGTATCCCACACTGTGAACAGGCAAATACTTGTACTGATTTGAGCGGCCGAGATATGCATGACTGCATGACTGGAGCCATTGAGATAGGACGGGAGAAGCTTTGTCGCGAAGAATTGGAGAATTGAAGATGCATATGGGCGCCGACTGGCTCGGTTAGCCGGCACGCCGTTTCAACAAGCCCTGTTTCTCACAGCTGCCAAACGAGGAGGCCATCGAATTGGATAGAGGAATTTGAAAAACGTGCGGTATTCTCGCAATTTCCACTGCGCTTGGCATATAGTCCATTGTATGTATCTGAGGACAGCTGTGCGTCGTAATTGGCCAGGGCCTCATGGAACAGCTTCATACGGAAGGCGCATCGGTCACCATTCACGATAAGAAAGGTGTGGCTGCCCTTGGAAGCATACAGCTTATCTTCCATACTCTTGTATTTGATACCGAGTCTGGCATGATAATCATCCGCGACCCAGAATCGAGTGTCAGCCGTAAAGTCATCTCAAGAGCTATCTACGCACAGTTAGAGTTTGGTGAATGTGCACTGAAAGTCTCTCGAGTTTCTTCTTCGAGATCGCGGATTTAATCTGTTGTAAGACATAATACAAGTCAAGGAGGATTATCTTTCATGAGGATGGTAGATGCCGGAACCATACATGGCAGATTTTATTTTAATTTTTACGCATGATTTTCCATACAGATTACATAAGGATCATCAAATTTACGGTTCAAAGTTATGACTAGTCTCGTGAGAGCTACCCATACTTGTGCCTCAACCATTCTCCTCAACTCTACAAATTGCTGGCCATACTCTTCATATTGCAACTATGGCAGACGTCGAAATGGTAGCAGATCCTATCGAAGTTGAGGAGAAAATGGAGACTGAAGAGACGGCAGACGACGCGAAGTCCGACATAGAGGAACACGAGATGATCGAGGTGGACAAGAATGGTGACTCGAGCGCACCTGCTCCAGCTCCAGAAATACTGGAGGGAGAGACAGATGATGAGAAAAAGAATAGGGCCTGCCGACAAAGTGAGAAATTGTGTACAGAGCAACTGATTGTCGAAAAGAGAATACTGACGTCCAGACGAACTGCAGTTGAATTCTACTTCTCCGATTCCAACTTGCCATATGACAGGTAGGCGCACACAGTCATTACTCGTCTCTATGTAGCTCAATAATTGCCGTAGGTTCATGTGGACACTTCACACTGCTAACGCCGAGCACTGGGTACCCATCAAAACGGTTGGATCCTTCAAGCGCATGCGCGAGTTCTCATCTCTTGGGAATGACTGGCTCGTGAGCGCGCTCAGACCGAGCCTTGAACTGGAGGTAGAAGAATCCGGGACGAACGTACGGAGAAGGACGGAGGTGAAGGAGCCCAAGGGCCAGTTCGAGAGGAGCATATATGCTGTAAGCTCATTATTTCTCTACAACTGTGTTTTCGCAAGGCTCTTGCTTATTGGGGGGGGTGAGAGCAGAAAGGGTTTGGTAGCGAATATCCTGGGTTGCAGGAGGAACTCGAAAAATATTTCGATGCGTTCGGACGTGTAAATGCAGTCCGGATGCGCCGAAAATACGATACAAAGGAGTTCAAGGTGAGCCAGCAGCGATCCGACATAAATAACTGTTTTTGATTTTGCGAGCTATAGGGTTCTGTATTCGTCGAGTATGCAGACGTCTCGAGCGCTGAGCGTTTCCTGAGCTTGGACCCCAAGCCTAAATGGAAAGATACTGAGCTGTTGACCATGTCTAAGTATGTTTATTTGGCTTACCCATTTTTTCCCCTTTTTTTGCGTCCTTTTTATCGCGTTGTTTACCTCTAATTTCAGAGACGCATACTGTGATATGAAGGTCAAAGAGAAGGGTCTTAAGGGCAAGGCTGCAGAGTGGAGGAGGTCGAACGAGACGAATATTCCCGCGAGGAACTTCAACGCGTTTCGCCAAGACAAAAGGGGAGACAAGAAGAGAGATGGGAAAGGAGAGAAAGCGCAAAAGCCTGAAGTATTCTTGGACTTCATGGGTAAGAAACTGAAAGTTATCGATGAGGATGGTGGTCGCGTAGAGGAGTCAGAAATTCCTTACGTCAAGAATAGCGCTTTCAAGCTCACTGGTATCGAGGGTAACCTGACGTTCGATGAAGTCAAGGTACGTCCTTCTCCCTGGATTATTGAGAGTATCATGATTGACTAGGTCGCTTATTTAGGCGCCAATGAAAGAGCGGTTTGAGCACGCACCCTTCATCAAATACGAGAAGGGCGCAAGCGAAGGCCTTGTCGGTTTCAGCAAGGCTCTCACCGACGAAGACATTGCGTTTATCAAGGAAAAGATCAAAACCATCAACGGGAAGGAAATCACCTGGTTACCCGCAGAAGGTCCGTCTGTCTAATTCTCTTTCCTATCGTTTCAGGTGTACTAATAGCAATGTGGACAGAGGCGGAAGAGAAATCATTCCTAGTGGAGCGTGCACAGAATGCCGCACGTCGCGTGATGACCATCGCAACTCGTCAATCCTCCAAAGGCGGTCGTGGCGGAGCAAGGGGCGGGCGCGGAGGCGCGAGAGGTGGAGATCGAAAAGGCAGGAGAGGCGAAAGACCCTCTGGAGACAAGCCCACAGAAGGAAATGGCGAAACGCAAGCGGGCGAGAAACGAAAACGCGCGGTCGAACCAGACGGTGGACCTGATGCTGGTACTCGTGGAGTCGGTGTACCAGTGATCCAGTCGAGTAAAAAAACGAAAACGGAGGATGCACCCCCTGTTGCTCCAGCACCCGCTGCTGCTACTGCTTCATAGTGCAGTCGGTATTTTTGGACTTCTCATCTTGGAGAGGATCTATTGTGACCTAGGATCTTGACAAAAACTTGATTGCTAATCTCCAATGTACTATTACGCATTTTATCTATGGAGCTATCGTTATCCGGCAACTCATCCCATCGCGTGCGAGAGATCAGTAGGACGCTGAGGCGTGTCTACATTTCGTTCTATTTCTTGTATCTTACCCAGAGGAGAACAACCGCGGCACTTGGAACCTATTATGCGAAGCAAACTAATGATCAGAGCAAAGTAGCAAACGTCAGAGCCATCCCTACAAGCGATCTGGTGGCAAATCTGTGTTGTGTGCATGTGCCATTAATGCTCAGAGAGTCAATTTTGTCTTCAAACTACAAGCCATTGTCATAATTCTTGTAGCACGCCACTAGCGCTAGTCATCAGCAAATTATTCGCAGACACCATTTGCAGTGACAATCCCTACTTTGCTATACAGGACCTATCAATCCTACCTCGACTTGGTCAAAGCAATGTATCATCACAATGTAAACAAGATTGACAAGTACATTGCTACATGACTAGCTCACTTAGATACTGCCAAGTGGTGTGCACATGTTATCAAATTGCAATAGAAGTTCGCAAACGTATGGATAATAAATAACTGACGCAGTGAACAATTGCAGAGCTTCATTCTCAGTAATAGATTTATCCTGCTACCTTCACCACATCAGGAAAAAGTCGTATTTCTTATAATATATTGTAGACTTTGTAAAGTAACATAAGTATTGTATGTATATTGTAAAGTAATTACAAGACTTGCAAATCAGTTGTAAAGTTTGTATAAG